GATATAAGAAAGAAAGTTGAGCTTTTGAAGAAAATTTGAAGTTTCAATTCATGTAATTTTGTGGATTTTTATTTTAAATTTAGTAGATTTTTCATCTCCAATCAGACACTGTGCTTTCAAAAATTTGAAGTTTGGTCATGAGTTGCTAAGTTTTTTGGAAAATCTAGCGTGTTAGCTACCTTGAACTAATTCAATGACTGAAAGCTCTGGTAAATACAACTTGAAGTTTGGGCATGGTCAATTTAGTGAGGTTTGTGTGTTTAGTATAGTGTTTTTTTTTTTTTTTTTTTTTTTTTTTTGGTCTTCTTTTACATTTAAAATCGGTCAATCTATAGTTGATATGTTCTTTTTCGTTTTTACAAAAGTTAGTTTTACCAGTTCAATTTTACATTTCTTGATTAATTTTTTGCAATGTCTAAATGATATCTCGCTTTAGGATGTATATTTTTTTCGTTCTCTACTGATAGCAAGTATGAATGTACTTTTTTTTTTTAGTAAATAAGTTATTTAATTATGTTTGATTTATTTATTTACGTTCTTAAAATAGAAATTGTAGCACCGTATTTTCTAGAAAATTTCATTTCAAAATTTTCGAAGTCATGTGTTTGAGGCTGATTTCCTAAACCTACTCTTTTTGGGAAACGAACAGTGGTGTTTGGAGAATTCAGTCTTAATGGTGTTAGCAGAGCTAGAGTTCAGTCCAACATTCGCTTGGGCCTTGTATTTGTGAATGGCCAGGTCATCTATAAGGTGACTTATTTTTTCTCCGTCTTTACTGTTTTGAAGATATAAAAATCTGATTCTATTGCTGAGTTTTTTTTAATATCAAATGATATTCTTTTCTCTGTTTGTCTGCGTTTTGTATAAAATTTAAGTGCTTAATTTCGTACTTTTCATAAGAAAGTGCTATGTTGTTGTTTTTTTTTTTTTTTTTTTTTTTTAATGATATTGTGCATCTTTTATAATAACCTTTAACTATTTTTGATAAGGGATTTTGATGCTTTTGTAATCAGGTTAAAACGAAATAGAAGTGCTCGTTGGGAATCCAAAGGAAAAGATTATGCTTTGCCTGGAAACTTGGTACTTTCATATTTTAATTTTTATTGCTAGTTTGTTTTCCAATCCTGAAATTGTATTTGACTCCCTATTTGTTTGGTAAGACTAAATTTCACCATTCTCTTGTCTACTTCAAAAACCATTTCATGTTCTGAAAAATTAAAATAATTAGTTAATTAATTAATATGAAGTGTCACATCCTTCCATGGGTATTTATGATATCTGTGGGTTTCAATGCCGCTGCAAGGTATTTATGATATCCTTTATTTTCCATTTTCTCATTTTCCAATGGTTTGTTAAATATTGAATTAATTTTTCCACTTCTTATGACTAAAGTATTGATTCTTCTTTAGAATTTATATTGTAAGGTTAACATTGTTTTATTATGAATATCTCCTGTTCCATTGCAAAAGTAGAACCACGCATTTTCCATTTTACCATACACTAGTATTACCTTAAGGAAAAACAAAGCCCGTGCATTGCAAACCATGCACGAGCACGAGACTAGTACATATAAAAAAGAAAACTTTGAATCAATTACATTAATGCATGCAAGGTGTTTGTTCAAAGAAAATGTGAAAAAAGTGATATTCTGTCAGTTTTCTAGAAAAAGGTCACAGTATTTCATTTGAGCGATTATCTAAGTGCATACATGTGTTTTTTGGAAATTTGAACATAGAATTTAAGCCTTGCTTTATAATAATACATATGGAAACAAGCCTTGTTTTGAAATTTGAATATGCGAATTCCAGCCTTGTTTTATGTTAATACATACGAATTCAAAATTAATGTTACTTTTTTGGCTTATTTACGAGCTATTTTCTTCACTCGTTGGGTGAAATTTTTGTTATCATTTTGAAGTATTCACAATAAACTTTAAAATATATCTTTCAAATTGAAAAATCGATAAACGACGAGTTCGAAATAACAAGTCAAAAATGCAGCAAGTAATGGTGTTAATAATTATTGTTTATTTTGCGTTCCATAATTCATGTGAGAAAATTTTTGTTATTTAAACTTCGTCCATAACATATTTATCATGGTCACATTGCAAGCTTTTTAACAAATTTTGAACCTCTTAAAATAGATAATTGTAGCGTAAAATATCGTATCAAGCGAAAACTTTTTAATAATAAAATTTTTGAAAAATAGAAAACATAAAAATGGAGGAATGCCGCCGTTTTGGGAATGATTTTGTTGATTTTTAAATGTTTTATTCTGGTGGACATTATTAATACAACTATTAAAACTTGAATGTGATTTAAGTGTATTAATCAATTCCTTATATTTTTTCAAGTACTGCGTCTAATTTCCTCTATTAATAATCCATCTAAAAATAAGATAAATTTCAATTGTGTCATTTTAATTTATCTCAATTAACAAGCTTAAGCTCCCATTTGAGCATTATTTTTATCAAAACTCATTTTTCAAAACTAATTTTCAATCACACATGACACATTCTCTCATAAATAATTTTATACATAAATTGAAAAAATTTCCTATTTTTCAATCACACATTTTCTAAAAATTACCATTATAAAACTCATCATTCGCAAAATATGGAGTTCAAACAAGGGCTAGATTTCAATCTAATTTTAAATTCACCATGTTGCCACCTTAAGTAACCTATCGTTTATGAACTGACGAGAATATTGATCTTCCATGTCATTATTAGACAACGCCTGAGAAACGAAATTGATAAATCTACACACATCTGCCGAAAAACTGTGCTTGGATTTATTTACAAATAAATGCACACAAGCTTAATAAATAGTAATGCTATTTACAGTCACTCACTGCCGTGGTGATAAGTGTATTTTATACACTTATTCGGTACCCTAAATAGAGATATTTGATGGTTCTTTCGACAAATTATATTCTAAATGTTTGTATTTTATGTTTAATAGGTAAAATTTTATGAAGGAAAGAAGCAAAAGTAGGCAAATTTGGAGAAAATAACTAAATTTTATGAAATTCAAAGTTCGGGGAGTAAAGTACAAATATCTAAAAATTGAGTCGAACCTCAAGATGAAGATTCGAGAGCGTTAGGAGTCAATTGGATGAAGAAAGACATCAAAGGGATCAAATTTAGACAGAATATAATCACAAATCAATTTCCAACTGAAAAGCTATGCTCTGGAATTTCAGGCTCACATTAAGACCAATTTTTGACATAGAAAACGATCGAGAATGATGTCTGAAGCAAAATTGTAGCCCTTTGAGTTAACTTTACAACCCATCTTGAATCGCCTCAATTAAATATCGGGAGAGAAAGTTATGCTAAAAATACTGAAAAAGGTGCGTGCTATCTGAGTGAAAAGTGGCGCGCGTCAGAGCGCTGTGGTGCCGGGAGATTCAGAGTGGTGGTGCTGCACCTTTTTTGACGTGGCACTGCGCTGCAGCATTTCAGGCGCCGCAACGCCGCATCCTAGATGCGTTAGGGCGCAATTTCGACCCGTTTTTGAGTTCATATAAAACCCTATTTTTCCAACACGACAAGGGATCTATAAATACGAAAATTCTCATACTTTAAGGGTTCCACACATTCCAGAGACAAAAACACTTCTTGAGAGAAAGGGGGAGAGATTCAAAGGGAGAAGACAACGCCAAATTCATCGTGTGAAGCATAAATTGAAAAAAAGAGGAACTCTTGGTGCAAGATCCACTTTTTCTTTTACATACTCTTATTTAAAATCCGGTGATGTATTATAAGACAATTTGTTATTGCCCTTCTTTTATTACGCGTAGCTAAATCCATTGTTAGAGTGAATAATGTAACCTATTTGAAATCATTTATATTTTATTATTAAGATTTTTGGTTTTTAATTCTTCCATGTGTTGAGTTTTGCTATGGATTGATTACATTAAATTATCTGATCAATAATTTGATAAATTTTGCGAATCTTTTATGAATAGAGATATGAGTTTAGGATTTGGACCATGTAGTAAAATTCATTACATTGGTATAACAAGTAGAGATACCTATACAATTTATTGCGGTCATAATTGAATTTCTAGAATAAAAAAATCGTTTAACTAAGTTGAATTTGCATAGAGATATGAAATTTAATTAGTTGAATAGGCTCAATGAGAACTCGAGAGGGGTAAATTGAATACAATAGGAGAATTCGACCGAACAATACATTAGAATTGAGTCTTAATTTGAAATGTAAAGATGATCAATGAGTGAAATTATTTGGCCCTAACGTCCTTTAATTTTTTGATTTTACAAAAAAAAATTGTGTGAGCATTCATTTATTTTCTAGAATTTAGATTAAAATTCAAATCATACAACTTTTAATTTGTTTCCATCAAATAACAGTTAAAGAAAAAATGAATTAAGTGCTAGAAAATAGTTCTCGTGGAAACGATAATTCGGACTCAAAAGGTCCACTTTATTAATTGTTACGATCCGTCCACTTGCAGGATAAAACGACAACACGTTAACATCCTATGTGGTATATATGTGACAGTTAGTGATTTGATACATTAATGTAGTAATTTTTTATTATCTTATGTAACAAATCACTAATCACTACATGTATATCATGTAAGGACATTAGGATAGTGAATGACTGGGAATAACATTATTCATTAATAAATCCCCTGTTTCTTCAATCAATGTCTTACTGATATTCGAGTTGAGTCCACTCAAGATGCAGACATTAGCCTATCAGTATCGAATCTGAATATGAATTTCAATTATTGGAAGCATCCATTTTTGCAATTTGCAATATGCACAGAATTGAATAGATTGAATAGAAAAATCCATCTAATTAACAAATAAAACAGAGATTGTGGAAGAAATTTCCATTTCCATTTCTTAACTTGATCTGTTTACACTTGATGATGATCATCGATCAAAATTATTTTTCTTCGTTCGGGTTT